ACCAATTTTTCTAATTTATTTTTGCGCCAAAAATTAAAAGCGATGATTGCTTTATTTTCTGTAGTTCATAAAATAATTTGATAAGTTGATAATATCAAATAGACAACTTATCTGTCAAAATCTACAAAAAGTTGTTGTGTGATAAACCTTTAATAACTAGTTAAAGTACTTTTTAGTAACACAATATTTTTATAAAATTTAAAAAAACAAATATAAAACTATATTGCTAGAGAACTCTAAATGATCCTTATCTTTAATAAGCTTTTCCAAGTATTGTTCATTATTCATCAGTCTATTTAGCGTATTAAATATTATCAAAACCTATAAAAATAATATTTTTAAATGGTTATTTTGTCGTTAATTAAACAATAATATAAAGGATTCAACGTGATGCAAAACGGGATGACAAAGTAATTTTTACCATTATACAAGAATTTAAAAAATATCTATTCTATGCAGTTTGAAAGTTAGAAATAAATAATATATTTAAGACCACGTTCAGGAATAACAATAATAGCCTCTAAAGTTCTCTAAAAGTAAGACGATTTGCGAAACAATGAATTAAAAGTTTTCAAAAATTGTAAACTTTGAATGGTCCTCTTTTAATAAAAAATGTACTAAAATGCCTTGGTAAGTTCCATTAACTTACATTTTAATAAATTATAATAGAAATGAATAGTGCACATTGAAGATATACCTTTTTAATTTCGCGTAGGGTAAGTTATTGTAATGGGCCGAAAATCGAAATTAAAAATTTTTACATTTCTTGACGTTTCGAAGGTTTCTAAACATTTTGACATACCTCAGAAAAAATGGATGTGTATGTGTGTGTGTATGTATGGATACAAATTTCTAGTCACATTTTCGGGCGCACAGATCAACCGATTTGAATTGTTCAAAAAACATTCGATTCCTATTGATAGGGAGATGAGTTAATTAGTTTTTGGCAAAGGCAGGTGCAGCAGTTACGGAGATTAAGAGCAAAGAATGATCTAAAAAACATTGAATTAGTAATGACTGGGAGAAGTGTTTATTAGTTTTTGACAAAGGCAGGCCCAGCCATTTCGAAGATGCGGAGCTAAATGTGTAAAAAATGGCAGTTTTTGAGAGAACTAAGCGTCCGATCTAAATGATTCAAAGAACTTTCTGCTTGTTTTAATAAAATAATTGATTTTGGAAAAAAAAATTTGTTTTAACTTTTTTTTTCAAAAAAATTTTTTTTGTATATCGAAAATAATTCAGATATTATTTTTAATTCTGACTAAAGTTCTAATATACTTTAAAGAAATAATTTCAACTATTACAATATTAATAAAAATCTATTTAAAAACGGGAACTACGGGACGTTCCAGCATTTTGCCTTAAGGCACGATGCCATACACGCCACTAGTTTTGTGATTTTTTTCACCATGGCTATAATCAATCCTGTCAACCAATGTTGGCTTGACGTTGAGTTCTAGGATGCTTATGTATAGCAACAGTAAACTAATAAATTTTATTCCTAACCTAATATTAACAAATAATAATCACATTAATAAAATACAATTAATAAGGACTATTTTATACGTGTTTGAGTTTAAATGAACAGTGAATAATTTTTATAAAAATGTTTTTATAAAAAATTAAAAAGGCACAAGCTTGAATTGCACTTTACTATCTCTTTTAATAGTTAATGTATATAAATTATTTAATTATTATGTTACAAGTTTATATGAAATATTGTGAAAACTGAAACAGCATTCAACATTAGAAATTTTATAAAGACTAGAAGTAAATTCCACATCATCATTAATTCCAGTATCCAAATTAGTATCATATCTATCCCAAAAGCTCTCAAAGTTCAAAAGTTAAATAGAGATTTTAAGTCCTCATAATTTTCGCGTTACGTTTCCGGTCCTCCATTTTGTTCCGGAAGCTCCACCCAATCCCCCACTTCCGGCCTGTCATAGTTGCGTGAGTGACGCGTTGTCATCGCGATCGCGATTCGGTCACTTCAGATCGGCCAATATTGTTGCCATATGGGAACGCACTGTTTGCGCATGACACTCATTTAT